CATTATAGTATAAATACACATTTATTATAAAGATGATTTTCATAAGCAGTTTTCGCATCCGGCTAGCCTAGTTTTATTTTTGATCCGATTACCACATACATATATATCTTCCCTTGTGAAAATTCCACTTCACAATGCCACAATATTTAATCTTTGGTCCCAAACATATCATTTGTTTCTTTCCGGATTTGAGCTTGAATTGTTTCTTGGTAAGCCAGCACTCGTGGGAGATTTGTAAGCTACACGCCAATCGCCCATTCCCCCCCAGTGTTTGAAAAAGGGGCGGGACTGCTCAGTGGAAAGTCAGCGTAGCTCGCATTTATATTTATTTCAATTTTATGACTTCATGTTGCCTAAAAACCAAACCACAAACGAAATGAAACTCAAATATGTGCACAAAGTTTCACAGCGGTCGACGGGGAGTCGGCTCAGGCTCTGAGAGTCGAGAGCTGGGAGCTGGGAGTTGGCAGTTGGAAGCTGAAACTTGTGTAGCAGAAAGCTGAACAATTCGTAAATCCAGAGAGCAGATTAGAAATTTTGCGCGGCAATATCACATAGAATGCGATAGAAAGAGACGGCGGGGGGCGAGAGACAGAGAGGGCGTATAATGCTTTGGGTTCGGGCACAGCTGAGTCGGGCTCTGGTGAGATGAAGGCAGGGGCGTGGCGCATTAACACCCACACAAAAGTTGCGCAGCCAACGCTGCCTCGGTTCTGCACGCCGCCTGTTTCGGTGGTGGTTTCATGTGCAACCACAGGCACCGGCATATAGCATTCACGACTACCAGAAGCAACACTCGCAACAACACAAACAACAACAACAACAGCAACGACAACAAGAATATAAACCCGGAAAAAAACAGGGATTGCTTCTTGCTTGGCAGCGCACGCTTCAGCTAATTTAATCTCTGCAAATTGCTCGACAATCTGCGCGGCATTAGAACTACACACGTGAAAAGTGATACATTCGCAGACCCAGAGCATCCACCGCACCGACCCGTGCCCCAAGCTTCCCCATTCACGCTCACGCTGGTTGGGCGAGTGCCTGGTGCGAATTAGATTACATTGGATGCTGGAAGTTTGCGCGCTTAGTTTTATGGCCATCGTTTGTTAAACGCCGTTGACTGCAAATACCCGATAAGCCTGTCAGCGCCATTTCAATGCCACTATCGAAGCCCAATCTTATCCAAAAATAACAATTTTCTATGTGCCATTCATGTAAACCAACAACGGGCCATTTTAATCAATTCGCTGCGGCGACTTTTCAATTGGAGCCGTCGAGTGATACTCAAGGCAACAGCTCTTAATGTATAGAAACTAACAAGACGAGCTTAAAATTTCAATTGTCCGAGTACAACAATAGAATAACCTTAGCTAATTGTAACTCATGCTGTTATTGATTTCCACATCTTTTGTCTGATGGACTCAAAGCAAAGTGCAATCACAACTGTGTTGCAAGCCAGAGTCAATTATTGTTGCAGGCGTGAGTAATCATATAAATGGAAATTTAATCTACTGCATTTATGTATGTTAATTTGTTCAGGCAACGTTTTCGGAGTATTTCAAGATTACTGGATTTTAGCTACTAAGCAATAAGCTGCAATCTAATGTGTAGGTTGACAGGCCTAAATTCTATCAGATCTATTTTCCGATATGCCATGCCTCTAATAGATATTGCATATGTATGCATAGTATTTTTGTACAAATCAATAGAGGATGTTAACAGTAACTTAGTAGCTCAATTTTTACCTCTAGCTCTAAAACTGTAGAAAGTAGAGTTTTTACCTCAGCCTAAAGATATGCAGGTTATTTTGAAATCGGTCTATGTTATGACGATTTAGACGATTTTTTTTAAAGAAAGAATAATTTATTGTTTAATTCATGAATATATTTATTTAATTAATCCCAATTAAGAGCATTGAATATTTATTTATTCATTTATATATTATTATTATTTTATATGTTTATATATATATATATTATTTATTTATATATTTAACAAGAAAACTGGTTAAACATGGCACGATTATCTTTGGCTCTTCCCAATAATATACCAATCAACATGATAAATACAATATTATAGAAATAATTATTTATTTAATTTAATTCACACCTAAATCGATTTCTTCTTTCATCGAGCTTGGGAGTTTATTGAGCTGCCAGCCCTGATCACATTCACTTGACTAGGCGAACGAGTACTAAAGCAACTTGAGCAATCTCAATATAAATTTTGAATTTGAAAGTGTAAGGCAGTTAGGCAGACAATCACCATTTATCAATCCATGAGCACTGCAAACTATTTCAGCTGAGCTCATGACAAGCCGGTACTCAATATTGTCATTGTACACACTAAGCACGCATTGCTGATATATATACATATATATAACATATATGTATAACTGCGATACGTAATGCTGCATACGCACTTTCGTTTTTTTGCGAATATTTGCAGCATGTTAATTAGCCGCCAAGATGAACAACTGCATGCCAATGCAGTTGAGCTCAGCCTCAGCCTCAGCCAGAGCAACTGTGGACTGCGACTGCGCTTTTCATTTTTTTAAAATAGTTTCGAGCTTGTGTTTATACATATATATATTTTGTTTTTCCCTCTCTCTCTCTCTCTCTCTCTCTCTCTCTCTCTCGCTCGCTCACTGTTTAAAAAGACTTGTATTACGTAAGCGGCATATGGGCTGACTGACCCAGCTGCCGAGTCACTTCTGTTTGTGCGCCGCTTGGCAGCCGCAACCAGCTCTTGCTGTCTTACTTTTGGGCCAAGTTTTCAGTAAGTGTCTGTGTGTGCGTGAGTGTGTGTGTGTGTGCTTGTGGGAATTGTGTGCCAAGTATGAGTAGACAATCGTCAACCAGTTTTCCATATCACTCGATTCGCTTGCTGACAGTACTCACATTTCGTTATTTCTGAAAAGGAAACAAACGCCATCAGCTCCTATTCGCATCGATATGAATGATTTGGCTTGTTTCGGTTCATTGGCCTCTCTAATGTCTTATCGCAGTGATTAGCATAATTCAAATTCAAACGCGAATGCTAAGAATAATTTTAGGCCATATAATGCTTGCAGCTAAAATAAATAGACCCAAAATTTCAGCAATGGCTGACAAATGGAATCTGTGGGAATCACACAAAAACCAATAAATTATTTAATTTAAAACTAGAAACCATCTCTTAGTGGAAAAACTGTAGCGAAAGGCCAATATCAATATCGGGCAATATCAAGCGGAACCTTACATAATTTTTAAAATAGTAATAGTTTAAAAATATTGTATTACAGTATAATTTTGACCTATATAAATTAATAAATTCATATACTTCAACGTTATTTATGTAAAGCAAACTAAATTTACTAATTTTATATTCTCTTAAATATTTAGATGATAGGATGATATATATATATTATATATTCCATATATGTTAAGCAAACATATCTATCTTTTATGATTTAGAATGTGTGGAGATACATAAAAGCCGACTAGTTAGATTTATATGCAATATGTATTATGAAATGGAATTGGAGTTTCAGGCTATGGCAGTTGAATATTTACATAGATTATAGTTAAAAGCCCAACAGAAAAGGGCCTCAAATCGACCAATAGCGTGACCGACCAGCCCAATGATGCCAACGGTTCAATGAACCGAGATTGCCTTTACCCGAGCCCCCGATAGATGGGCGTTAATTATGATAATTTACTAGCCAAAGCCCATGTATTACCTGTGTTCCGAAACAATGGCTATTCTTTGAGCTCAAAATTAACATTTACAATCTTTACTCATAAATGCTAAATGCACGTAAAAATGGAAATCTTGTCACAACGAGACAATGTGTGTATATATATAGACTTGTATGCTCAGCAGGCATGCAATATGTTTGTTGGAGGAATTCCGTGCGTTATAGCTAATTATAAAAACTTTAAACTGACTTTTACTTTATAAAGAAATTACATCTATTCGCTAAGTTGGCTCTGTGCACTGATAGGCGAAAAAAAGTAAAAGTGTCTGAATCAAGCTCTAACGAGTACATAATACTTGTATATAAAAATAAATGCCCTTATAGTTGATATGTCATTTATATTTGATATCTGAATTTAATCAAACACAGCTAAAATTATATATAAAAGACTACTAATACACTATAATTATTTAATTTTATTAGCTAAGACTTTTTTTTCGGCAAACAATGCTTTTGCTTATTTATAATAATGTTCTCACACTTTATCAATTTGGAGAAAGACAGAATTTAATGAATATTTGAAGATTTCGAATGAGTTGCGCTTTAACAATGATACACTAGCCAACAGAATTTAGTTGCCATAAATTTGATAATTAATTTTCTTTTTACAGTAACTTAAATCATGTTATTTGAACAAAATTTCGTTTATTTTCAGTTTCGCATGTATATAAACTGAAGGCTCTGTCAGAAAAGTACAGGTTGATTCTCTATTTTTGTTCACCTGTGTAATAATTATAGACACAATAATAATTCTCTCACAGTATAAAAAAGTTGCTAAAAAAAACTTTATAATAGTTAACTATGGAAATGACGCATCATTATTTCTTTCAAGCGCAGAGTTGAAATTGTTGAGATTTGGGTGTTCATAATTTTGTGGAACTAACACTCGACGGCTGCTTTAATAGCACTCGGCCAATGTTGAAGAGCTGAAAGCCTTGAACTGAGGTGCGCTGAGCTGATGGATAATTGTTTTTATGTTGTCAATGTTTCAATTATATTCAACAAATGTATTTCGAGACTCTTCAAATATTGTCTAGACTCTCATTGAGTCTACCAGCTGAGCTGAAAATATTTAATATTTGTTCACTAAGCGACTAAAATCATTTTCCATTCATCTTAATCTCTGACTACGACGAGCTGCAAGTAGTTTGCATTCAGTTATTAAAACACATCCACCCATAAGCTCACACACACCCACACACAAAAAAAATCATACATATATGTATGTATGTATGTATAAATAGAATGTGTTACTCACCTTGACAGACCTGGCAATTTAGCAGCAGTGAAAGAGCTACAACAACAACAACAAAAGCATAGAGCTGCGACCAAAGGCTGTTTAATCCCTGTGTTGCTGTTGCGTATGTTGTTATCCTGGATCTAGACATTGTTGCAATTGTTGCTGCTGCTGCTGCTGATTCAGTTTGTTCCTGACGACGCGTTTTTATCCACTCTGAAGGCGTTTCCATGCTTTATTTTCCAGAAGTTAAAGAACAAATACTCCGCTGCTGTTATTGTTATTGACTCTGGACATGTGCTTCCGTGGGCGTAATTTTGGATATAAATATTTTGGCAGGTAGTATTGGGTTCGAATTTCAGGTGGGCTCTGCTTTAAATCAAATGAATTTCGCTTTTGTAAGCTGTTAACACACACTCTCTCTCTTTTTTATCTTTCTCTGCCTCTCCGCACTCTTCCCTTCTTTCTCTCTCTCTCTCTCTTTCTCCCTTTCTCTCTATGTCTCTCCCTCCTCTCTCTCTGACTTGGTGGGCGTTGAGATTTGTTCAAGTTGGCGGTAAATGATTTGATGTGTTTCGTGTCCAATTCAAGGTCTTAAAAAGTCTTTGTATTGATTCAAATGTTTTATGCTTGGCTCCAATTGTATGTTTGGTCTACAATGTGTTTGAAATTTTTATTGTCTTTCGTTTATTGGGTTTTTTTTTTTTTTTTTTTTTTTTTTTTTTTTTTTTTTTTTTGTTTTTTTGGTTTTTTTTTTTTTTTTTTTTTTTTTTTTTTTTATATTTATTTTACTAACTACATTGTATTAATTGATATTGATTTAGTTTTTTTGTAGCTTATTAAATTTCTTATAGAAATTTTTCTAAATTATTGCACAAACTTCACTTTTTTCTGTTACCGAATATATATGAATAATTTAACTTATTAATATATTTTTTTGTTACGTTTATTCGTTTTGTTATATTTCTTTAAAGTATATGTATAAAAAAAAGAAAATGTTTTTAGTTGGGCTATGCCCATTGCAAGGGAACGTTTATAACGTTCGGTTTTTTTTATTTTGTTTCGTTCATTTCACAGTTTATATATTATAAAACTTGCAATCAAATGAAATGGGCTTTAAATTTTTTGTAGTTGTTTTGTTGTAATTTCTTTAATATTTTAAGTATGTGTGTGAGGGAAAGAATGAAACGGAAAATAGCGATTTGAACGCCACGACTCGTAAAACGCGCGTCAGGAACAAGCTTCGGCCTCAGACTGAGTGCCGCGTAAATTCCAATAGGCGCAAAACTGCTTTGCTATGACTTTTGGTATTTTTTAGGATTTTTATGTGCTTAGTACTTTTATACACTCAGAGAAAATGATTACATGATTATGATGTCAAAGTTTTGATTATATAATTAAGTACTTCAATGTTTTTGGGACGTTTTATTCACTAATGTCAGCCTGTAATGGGAAAAATAAGCTTTAATAAATAATTCTTTTCATTCGCAAGAGTTGATATTGTTGGTCACACTAGAAATAAGCAAGTGCCCACAGATAGATGGCGCTTGAATATGTCGTTATATTTAAAACATATTTTGTTTCAATATAAAAATAACTTTTGCTAAGGACATTCATTGTAAAAAAATTAAAAGTTTCGAAGCTTGTATCTGGCTTTATATTTGTGTTCCTTGTGGCTACTTTCCTAACTTTACATATTTTCGTTTGCGGTTGTAAGCTTCGGTAATAGGGTTATTTTTAAATTGTAATAAAAAGTAGATTTTCTGACTGGCCGATAGCAGGGCAAGTCGAACAACTCGCAATGCAATTCAACTGATAAAAAAACCTTCAACTAGACCGGCCAGAAATGCGACACAGCCTGTGACACCACGGACCGGGGATATTTATATATATTTATATATAAGATACATACATATGTACACACAAAATGGAGGACGGACAGCAATGGCGCTTCTGCCGGCATATCCGGTAAAATGCTGATATGGGGACAGACAATTTTTACTATGACCCCAAAGAATTGGGCGCGTAAATGCTGAACGTTTTCCAGTTCTCAGCTCCATCAAGGCCATACAGGGTGCTTACTACGCATTGGAAGAAGCAAAAGTAGACATGCGCATAAATCAAGTATATACAAATAACGCAAATATATTGACATTTACATATATATATAATATCATTTACTTATATATATAATATACTTCATTTGTATATACCGGCATTTAGTAAATGTCCACGTAAATAAATGGACAATATATAGTTTAGGTACAAGTAGATTTTCAAATTTGTCTGCTAAAGAACCACTATCATTCAGATGATATTAAAAAGACTGCAAGTAATTTCCAAAAACATAGCGATAAAGAAAGTAAAAAACTGTTTTATTTTATAAAAACAACATGACATTCTAGCTAAATGGTACATGGGAGTGCTGTAACAACCAGCTATCGATTGCTTGGTCAGCACTCGCGCAGTCTGTTAACGACAATTTAAAAATGAGTAAGTTTCATCATTCGTTCATGAAAAGTATCGATAGTATCGAGATATTTTTCGAACTAATTCTTTCAAGTTTAATCCAGTTAGCTAAGAAAATTATTTATACTGCACGTCAATGTCACAAAAAATTTTATATTTGTTTTGTTTAAAAATATTAAAACTGTTAAAATATTTGAATATTTATCAAGAATCTAGTCTAATGAATTTTAAAAAAATTAATGATTTTGCAGCCCACTTAGTGCTGTTATATTAAAAAAAAATTGAATCATTTGCTGACTACATTTTATTAATTTTGGTGTTTAATTATTAAATTGAAGTACAAACCATTGAAGACATATTAACAGTGAGCTTTCTGTTAAAAACAGGTCGACGTCTGTTAGCATTTTAATGCCAAAAACATATGTTATACGACTCACAATCGACATAATCGATAACATTCTGTTAGTGCAGTTAACAAGAGCGGACGTGTTTTTGTAGCGTTTTAAAATTTTACAAAATTATTTGTAATAGGAAGATATACAGATTAAACAAAACTGTAAACAAAAGAAATACAAAACAATGAACTAATGTAAAGACACACCGCGGGTACCTAATCGACGTTTTCCCCACGTGGAACCCAATTTTTTCATTTTCGTTCATTTTATGATGTGTGCCTGTGTGTAGCAGCTTTGGGCGGCGAGTAAGTACCACCAACCAGCCAGCTAACCGACCGCCCGACAGCCGAGAAGCAAACGCATCAAAGGCAAAAAAAAAGAAAGAAAAAAAACCAACGCCTCGACGAAAATTTCTCTGTGTGTGTTGGCTTGTCTATGTACATATGATTTGTGTGTATATATGTGTGTATGTGTGAGACAGAAAAAAACAAATTCAATCGAAAACAATATAGCAAGCTTTGCCTAACAGTTCCATGAATTGACCAAATTGTACATGCAAAATTATAACAAACGTTTATCTTTTTCTTTTAATTATAGAGAAAATTACCGTGAAATTTTAGCAGTACTTATTTCTATATTTTGAACGTATATATGTGCGTGCTCGTTTTTCGTCCACTTAAATGTCGATGTGCGTTAACATTTGCATTTCGTTAATTACTCATGCAAAAAGTTTATAATTCAACAAAAAAAAAAATCAAACGCGGCTACATAAAAATATATATATAAAAAAAAACAACGCATAAATTTTTGCCACATTAAAAAGTCCTAAGTCTGCACTTCTGCAGCTCGCAAAATTATAAACAAAGCGAAATAAATTCGAGAAAGAGTTGAATTATCATTTGAGTCTGCGTACTACGGCAAATTGGAGTCACCGAGCCCTAATAAATAATTGAGAAGGCATCGTGGAACACTACTCTAAACAAGAGACAAACGCACTTCGCTTTGTTTTGCGCCCTTGAGGGGCTCTGCAACGGCAACGGCAACAGTAAAAGCAAAAACAAACAAGCAATTGCAACGACAACGAGCCTGTAGGAACCAGCAGCCACAATAGAACCCACAATAAAAGGAAAAGGAGCAAAAGCAACTGCAGTTGGAGGCAGCAACGACGTAAACGGTAGTGCGAAACAGCAGCGATAAACATAGCGCAGGAAGCGGTAAGTAAATACACCCATTTTTGAAATGAGTTAAGTTGATAAAAAAGTGTATTTGGCTATTGTAATGCTCTCCACCCTATATTGTAATGTGCTAGAAATTCCTATCGCCAATCAGAACCAAACTCCAATCAGACTCCCACACACTGTGGCCGCAACTGGTTTTTGTTTACAAACAAAGGCAAGTGCGAAACTTTGAACAAACGGGTTTTCAATTCGGTTTTTCTTTGCTAACATGCAGACGTGCGGTGAAAATATTATAGTTACTGTTGTTCAGAAACAAAAACTGGTTTGCTTTCCACAACAACAAAAAAAATATCCGAGAGATGCCTGCGAAAGCCAGTTCAGCGGCCATTTGTGCCATTTATTGCTCGCATCCTCTGCTGAAGATGGGGAAACGCGCTCGTACAGTAACTGAGCTTCCCACGCCAAACGGTTTTTGTTTTTGCCTTTGCTGGCATATTTAGTGGTATGTACATATAAGTACAATGGTTGCTGTTTGACAAACCGCTGACTAAGAGCGCCACCTGTTGTTGTTCTCTGTGTGTCATCATAACGGTTAGCTCTCTTTTATTTATTTATTGTTTTCTGTGCATTTTGCAATAGTGTGCGATAAATTTTGATAAAAACAACCGATAAGTGAGTGCGCCCCAACAGCTGTATGTATTTATGTGTGTGCGTGTATGTGTATTTTCCTATATCACACGCCCATACGTGACATCATGCTAATGCATAAGCTCAATTAATTGCAAAATTTAAAGAGTAAATGCTACCTTTGTGCTAGCTCTCTGGTGAATTTTTATTTTTTATAGCATATATTATTTATTTATTTTAAATTCCAATTCAGTTTGAAAAATTAGAATCGATTGGTTTCACTGCAATTGAAAACAATTGAATTGAAAGAATTCGATTAATCTTATTGTCTCTTGGTCTTTGGTTAACCTGTGAAAGCGATAGGCACAGTAGTCATTACAATAAGAATAGTTCTAGATTTTTTCATTTGATTTACATTTTATATGCATTTATCCGTTATGATTTGAGTTTCTTAGGTGTAAGTTCATTTTTTCTGTAATTTGCATGCGCTTATTTGCTTAAATTTCGCACGATCATTCACCACATTTGATGACCTATGGCTTTTATCTTAATGCTTTTCATTATTTCCCATTTTCATCTTACTAACAATTAAATTTTGTACATTTTGTTCTGCTCCATGGCGCAAACGATATTTGTGGTTGTCCCCACATGATCGTGTGCTCCTCTCTCCCTCTCTTTCTCTATCTCTCTATCTGTTGGACTGCGTAACACACGCACACGCACACACAATCAAAAACACCATCTGTGTGTGTGTGTGGGTCACGCATGCCTCTGTTTAGATCCAACGAAGGTCCCCCTATGTTCATGCCAACGGGAGGGGGTGGGAAGGGAAACAGACCACAGTCAACACACCAGCAGAACCACAGCCACCAGACCCAGCACCACCAGACGTCACACGGCCACTCACATGCGCACCACCATCATCAAAACCAGTCGCAGCAACAGCCGCCCCAACAGCAGCAACAGGCGCGCATTTCCCATCTGCATCAGCAACAGGAGCAGCAGCAGCAGCAGCAGGCGGCACACGCAGTGTTTGTACCGCAACAGAGCGGCGTCTCGAATCTAGGTAATCTTCATCATCACCACCATCCTCTACCGCAGCAGCAACATCAACAGTTGCAGCAGCAGCAGCAGCAGCAACAGCAGCATCAACAGCACCAACAGCAGCAACATCTTCAGCAGCAACAGCAACATCATATACACCAAGGCCCGATTGTCTTCTACTCTAGCCAACAGCCGCCGGCATTGTCGTATGTGAACCACCCGCAGCACTCGTCCAGCAGCAGCAGTAATGGCAGCAGCGGTGGCGCCGCTCTTCAACTGAGTGGCGCCGCCAGCAATAGTTCGCTGGGACATGGCCATGGCCATAATCATCACAGCCATGGTCATGGCCACGCGCATGCGAATGGTGTCCTTACGCCAGTCAGCAGCAATACAAGCCTGGTGTGCGCCCTCAGCAATCCGGCGCTGCCGCCAAGCTTTACGCCTTCAGCTGGTCTGATCGCGCCCCCAGGCGCCAATGGGCCTGGGGCTGGCACCACATACATTTCGACAGCATTCGTGCCCTTAAATCATCCCGGACTGATTGGCGCACAGCCTATGACGTATGCCCCAAACGGAGGCTCGGCAGCGCCCGCTGGCACCTTCTATGCGACATCAGCTCAACAAAAACCACAGCTGCCGCCTGTGCAGCAGCACGTCGTGAGCGCCTTGCCCGCCCCCAATGCAGGCCAGCAGCAGGCCATAACTTACTATCCCCAGCCGTTGCCGCCAGCGCCGCTGAATAACAACAACATCAACAATAATGCGGTGGGCGGTGGAGGGGGCAATGGCGCACACCGTGCGAATATTCGCGGTGGGCAACGGTCGACGCCGCCCCAGCAAACCAACTATTATGCCTACACGGTGCCCACGGCAGCTCCTCAACCGCGTCCCACGCTGGTCAACAACGCTACGGCGACCGCTGTTGCGCCCATTCTGAATCCGCGAAGCGCGCCCCTCAACGGAACACCGGCGTTTCATATTCCGCCGGCATACAATATACCGATAGTACCGCAGACCAACCTGGCGACAGCTCCGATTATAGCGGCTGCAGGCTTGACCGCAGCTCCAGCGGCTCCTGCAACTGGGCTGCACACTTATCCACCACATATGCAAGGCACAGGGACCGCAGCTGTGGCAGCTGTTGCTGGTGTGGCTGCAGGCTTTCCGCCGACCTCGCTGACAACGGCCTCCCAGCTGGCTGGGAGTGACAAGGTAAAGGAGCGCCGGCATGCCATACCCATCATACATCCGGACACTAAGGAGAATGTGTTGGACCCCAAGTCGTCGGTGTTTATCAAGAAGGACTCCAACAGCACACTGACATCCAGCACGGGAAGCGACAGCAGCCTGCCCCAGTACCAGTTGTCCAGCATCTCAGATTCGGGCTCCTCAACTCAACTAATTACCAGCGTCATGGTGGATCATCAAATGCAAACGGATAAAGCATTGCAACCACCCAGTACCAGCCATGCAGCTGCTGCAGCCGCCCTACCACTGACCGATGAAGACAAAGTCAGCGTCATTGTCAAGGACATACTGGCCCACTCAGGCAATCCGGAGGAACACCTTAGCTTCTGGCAGTTCAATGACGGTAAGATACACAAGCTTAAAATAAATTGACGCATGTAGGATGTTTGTAGTATGTGTTGCCTAGAAATTGGCTAAACTAAATTTTAAATAAACTTAAAGCTCCAATTTTTATATGACTATTAGATTCTTCAAATTAATAGTGAAATGCAAACTTTTAATTGAATGATCTTTTGAAAACTTTAATGGATCAACTATTAAATGTTTTTGTTTCAAGTCTGAAAAGTGCGATTGGTTCTAAGTGCTTAACATTGCTTAAAGGATTAAATGTTCAATACTCTCTCTACTAATTTGAAAATGTCTATATTTATTTGTATTTATAGTGGACAACACCTCGGAAAATGCAACTCAGTCAACTTGCGGCAACATGAGCGCGAATTTCGATGATTTGCCACCTGTAGCAGCAACAGCATCAACAGCCGCAGCAACAGCATCAACAGCAGCAGCTCCAGCTCCAGCTCCATCTGGCAGTTCCAACGCCCCAGTGACGTTCAAGGAACCGCCGCCGGCTAAGAAACAGCGCCCCAAGTCGGCGAACAAACAAAGTTAGTGTTTATATCGAAAAGTCTTGAGTATTTGTTTAATGGCCGAAATATTTTGCAGACACAGCCACGCCTACGTCTATAGCCAACGCTGTGGCCGAAGCAGCAACCTGCAGCAACAAGAGCATAAGCATTTTAACAAGCATTAAACATAATCCAGCGCCCCAACCACAGCCGCAGCAGCAACCGCTCTTGCAGAATCCACCAAAAGCAGTGAACGTCAGCTTGGGATCCGATGCGAGTCCTACAAAGACGATAAAGCCTAGAATATCTGTGCCGTACAGTCAACAGTCGCAAACAAAAGGTGAACAGCCGCTTTTGCAGTCGACTTCATCTTCAGCGACCTCGACGCCCACGCACCAGCAGAAGGCGCAACAGGTACAACAGCCGAAGCAAGCTGGCGGCGTCACAGGAACAGCAGGAGGAGCAGGCATGCGAAGAGCGGTAAGCCCAAGTCCTGCGCGCCCAGCTGGTTGCAGTCCGGCGACACCTGCTGCGGCCGTACACTCAAACAAGAAGAGTCAGCGAAAGGCGCAAAAGCGTAAGGAGCAGGAGAAGAAAAAGCAAAAGGCTGCAGCTAACATCCCAAGCAGCACCACAGCGGGCAGCGCCGGCAGCAGCGGCAGCGGAAGTAACGCGGCCAACAACACTAATAATAATAATGGCAGAAATGGCGCCGCAAGCAGCTCCAAGAGCAACGGCAGCAATAATAACAACAACAATGCTGCAGGTGGTGCCGACACCATCATCACATTTGTGACAACAACTAAAGCGACAGCCGCAGTCGCGTCCGCAATGCAGGACAAAGCGGCGTCAACGATGACTGATAAGCTTAGTGCAACTAGTAATAATTCTAGCTTAAGTTCTAGCGTAAGAGACAAGAAACCCAAAGAGCAGCAGCAGCAGCAGCAGCAGCAGCAGCAGCAACAGCAGCAGCAGCAGCAGCAGCAGCAGCAGCAGCAGCAGCAGCAGCACCAACAGCAACAGCAGCAGCAACATCAGCAGCAGCAACAGCAGCTGCAGCAGAAGCAGCATTCGAGCAACAAAAATAACAACAACAACGATGCGGCTGCCAGTGAACACAAAAGTAAGTCCATACAATCAAATTTCGAATTTCCCCAAATTTTAACTAATTCCCTGTCCATTATTATTTCAACAGACCATAAAGATGATTCGATACAACAGCTGGACAAGCACATGGCCAACGAGGACATTGTAGCACAATTTCTTCAAAAGAGTTATGATGATCCACCCAGTCCAGCAGATACACAGCTAGAGTTTCTGAACAGCAGCAGCTCCATGTGTGACGATTCGGACATTATAAGGGACCCTGCTCCTGCCGACGAGATAACTGAGAGTAATGCTGACGGCGAACTGGACGATAATAATGCCAACAAGTGCGTCGATAATAATGTGGGCGACTTGAAGTTTGGTGACTTTAGTGAGGAGGCGCCTGCTGAAAATTCCAGTTTCATATGCAGTTCAACCTGGTCTAGCTCACAACCAATTGATGTCACCAGCTCTCAAAGTACAATGTCTGAGGATAATGTGGATTGTGCGCCTAAGACCAACATCCAAAAGATTGAGCCACCCATTAAAAAGAGCTCCCCCATGCATCAGACGGGCAAAGCAACTGGATCCCTTCAGAGACCAGCAGCCGGTAAATCATCAGCGGCATCATCAAAGAGCTCTAGTGTCAGCAAGTTCATAAGATACAACATTGATGAGCTGCGCGAGCTGTCGAAGCTCAGCGATTCGCGGAAGCCTCCGCTAGTTCCCTGCCAGAAAGGCGATTGTATATCACAATTGTTCGTCTCGCGACAATCACAGCAGCAGCAGCAGCAACACCACCACGGACACAATCCGCATGGACAGCAGTATCAGCACGCGCACGAATCGATGGAATATGGAACAGGTAAACGCGGACGTGGTCATGGCCATGGACCGAATAAGAAGCATCATGAGGGACATCAGCCAATGACCGGTAACTCGAGCGGTAATAGCTCTGGTCCTGGTGGAATGGGTAACTCCAATCAGCGGCATATGGATATAATACGTGTGCAGCTGTCACTTAAGGAGGAGATTAAACTGTCCGAGTGCGAGAATGCCTGGCAGCCGGAGACACTGCGTCGTATGTCTATGTTCAATTCAACGGAGCCAGACCAAGACGATGACATGGATGTGGTACTGAAGAAAGTTCGTGGCATACTCAACAAGTTGACTCCTGATAACTTTGAGGTGCTGCTCAAAGCAATGTCTAGCATCAATATGGATACTCAACGCAAAATGACAAACGTAAGAAAACAATTCTTACCTAAAATATTCCTCTAATAACTGATTTCAAATTTGTTTGTTGACAGGTTATGCTGCTTATTTTCGAGAAGACCATCAGTGAGCCCAATTTCGCACCCACATACGCACGATTTTGCAAGGTGCTGTTCCATGAGATTAAGGCAGAGAATAAATCTCTGTTCACCAGCTCGTTAATCACGCGCATTCAGCACGAGTTCGAATCGAACGTGAATGATGCCAATGCCAAGGCCAAAAAGCTGCAGCCCACTCAAGAGCGCATTAATGCGTGTCAAGATACGGCCAAGAAGATTGAGCTGCGGGCTGAAATGGAGGACCTTGAATATCAGTTCAGGCGTCGAGCCTGGGGCACTGTGCGCTTCATAGGTGAACTTTTCAAGCTGCAATCACTTACCAGCGATCGTGTGCTGCACTGCGTCGAATCGCTGCTTGAACATGGCTGTGAGGAGAAGCTGGAGTATATGTGTAAGTTATTGACCACTGTTGGCCATCTGCTCGAAGCCGGCCCGTCCGAGCAATACCAGAGCGGTGCACGCATCGAGAAGATCTTCCGCCGAATACAGGACATAGTACAGCGTTCACGTGGCGGCACCACTGGCGGTCGACAGCATCAGTTTAATATTAAAATAAGCAGCCGTGTGCGATTCATGATGCAGGACGTGCTGGACTTGCGCTCACGCAACTGGGATCAGCCGGTGACCGCTCACTCGACTTCTGGTAGTCGGCAGCGTCACAAGCAGCACGACGAACCCAAAACCCAGCAGCAGCAGCAGCATAGCACGCGCGGCAGTCATTTGCCCCAACAGCAACAACAGACGTCTAGCTACCAGTATCAACAGCAGAAGCAACACCACCATCATCACGGCTACAATGACGGCGGCAATTACTTTATGCAAAAGCTGCCCAAGGCGCAACAGCATGAAAACCAATCTCTCAGCATAGATCCCAATAAGCTGCGCTTCAGCAGCAGCAACAACGACGACACTACGACCGCCAAGCTGGGCAATTCCTCACATTATCAGTGGCGCAACGCTAGCAATCGTCCAGTTAGTGGTGCGCCAGCTGCACAGCCCACTTTGCTTAAGCGCCTGCCGTCGACGAGCTCCTTTACCACCTATCCGCCCTACCAGCAGCCACCGGCGGCACAGGTGGGCGTGCCTACAGCAGCCAGCAAAAGCCAGTCTTCAGAGCCGGCCACTCCGAAAGTTGAGTTTGATGCGAAACAGTGCCAGGAGATGCTCACAAAGCTCGTCGAAGAGGTGCTCAGCACTCGCGAATGGCAACCAGAGGTGCTCTTCATATGGCGCAATTCGAACGCCAAGCAGCAGGCGGCGGTGGCCATCATACACTACATTCTGATGGATTATGTGCATCGTGCGGAGGTGAAGCGACAGCAGCGTTTGGCATGCGCCAATGCCATTTCGTATTTAATGAAACAAGAGGTTTTTGGCAAATCCGCATTTGCCCTGGCGTACAGCCGCTTCGGCGAGGAGTTTCCCGATCTGCTGGTGGACGTACCTAATGGCTGGACCTATGTGTTTGAGTTTCTCGGACCCATTATGCATGAAGGTGGACTCGAGTTGAAGGACATTTGGCAGCAGCGCTGGCTGGAGGATCCGCAATTCACTGAACGTTTTGTACGCGCTTTTGTCAGCTACTTTGTGCAAGAATTTGGCGCCAGATACACACACAAGCTATGGCATATAGACAACAAGCTGGATCGAGGCCAGCTGTTTTGGAGCGATGCTCGCAAGTATCGTGACTTTTTGCAATCGAATAGCTTTCAATTTCTGGAGCCCAACAGCACAGCGACAGCTGGTATGCAGCGGCAAAAGGTTACACGCACCCAAGCGGAGCATGTGGAGCGGATAAGCTACCTGCTGCGGCTGTCTAGCGACACCGCCATTGACTATATCAATACCAATGTGCATATAAATGCGAGTTTTGTACGCCACCTTACCAAATTTCTCTGCTGTGACTTCGCACTAATCAATGAATTAACCAAGAACAACAACAACAACAACAATAAGACTAACAAGAATAAACTGCAATTGCAACTGAATGTGGACAGCTTTAGGCGAGATTGCACTCCACTGTTGCGGCTCTGTATTGATGCTCAGGAGACGCACGAGATGGCATGCATTGAGGAGACGGTCGACGCACTGCAGGAGCACTTTAGCCTCGAGCTGGACGATGAGATGGCTGCGGGTGAGGCAATCTGTAGCGCTTGGAGTGTGCTTTACGATTGCGAGGTAATATCCCGAGACACTTTTGAGAAGTGGTTCAAGCAGGAATTCAAGCATTATCCACGACCACTAATGGACAAATTGCGTGCTTTCATTGAGGAAATGTAACAGCCCCACAATCAATGCCGGAACAATAACAACAACAACATCAACATCGAGGCAAATCGCAGTCAAAATGAATAAACAATAACCATATTTATGTATATGACAATTGAAACAGCGCCCTTGGGCCTTTCAATCCTACACCATGCGCGGTCGTATATACATACACATCTATAATTCAAAACACATACAGACAGGAACAGAGAACACTAAAAATTGCAAAGAAAATAAACAATGACAACAGCGAATATTATCAACTATTGCAATAAACAAAATGCATAAATTAAAACAAACACGCAAATGGAATTTCGGAGGCAGACAAAAAAAAAAAAAAAGCTAATCTCAAAAATCAAATATATATTTATACATATATATATGTTTATAAGACAGGGTACATATTAAAAATATGTACATATATGTATACCCACATGTATCTATGTATGTATATATAGAATCTATGCTTTATCTGAATAGAAAACTCGACAGTATTTAATTTCCTTCAAGAAAAAGTAAAAAAATCTCACAGTGGATCTGTATGATTAGCTAACTATTCTTTTGTTTAAGCTCAGCAAATAGCAACTTTTTACCTTTCAGTACAAAAATTTATGAATTTGCATTGTTTCCTTAATTTTATATTTACTTATCAAAAAACTATTTATTTCGAAATTTGATTTAAGTGAGTTTTTCATGCAAAAAGCTCAAATTCGATAGCAGATCACGTTTGTTTTTCCTTCAGAAAAAAATATCTATATATATAAAAAAAAATATAAATTTCGAGGCTTAGACTCAAAATACATGTATACAAAATTATATAATTACTTATATATTAAAGAATTTAAGTTTAGGTACGAAAAAAGACATGTAAAGTATGTATGTATTTAGTATGCATGAGAAAAAAAAAATTATCCAAAGATAAAATTTAAAATTAGTTGTAAGACGAAAGAAAAAAATACATAAAATATAATTTAAAAGAAAACGAAAAAAAAAGATATATCTAGCAATTCAAACCAAATTGAAAAACTATATTTATATATTCACAACAGATAAAAGGAAAGAAAAAATAATGAAAAGCAAAAACCAAGAGCTCTAAGCCGCCTTGAATTAGTTATTTTTATAAGTATAGAGAAGAAAGAAAGAAGATAAAAATTAATTTTAAAAATTAATACTTCAATAGTAAAAGATTTTCACAGCTCAATATATATATATATATATATATATATTTTTTTTATGTTATTATTTTGATTTTTTATTTAAACACTGAAAGTGGTAATGAATGAAGAACGGCTTGCCGCAAAATACAAGCGAAATCAAATAAAATAAAATAATTACAAAAGTAAATAAAAGTAAATTATTTAGCATGAAATACGAAAGGAATGTAAACAAATTGAATGAAGCAAATATTAGTTAAGGAATTGTCGAAACGCTTCTGCACTGAAAAGCGAATAGTTTAAAGCCAAGCTAAGTAAATTTTGAGAACTTCTAGCATTCGTAGCATATTTGCAAACATTTCAAATGTGTAGCCAAATTTTTGGGATAAATTGAGAAAACAAAACTGTGAGCATTTTTAGCAAGGAAGCGAAAACAAAAAATTTAACATAAATTAATAACAAATTCAATTTACAATTAAAAACGTTAATGAAATAATAGAAAGAAATTTCAAATAATAAAGACCTTAAGCAAGGGGCCGAACAGGCGGGCCTCTATAAACTGGCATCAATTATAAACAAAAAATAACAATAAATGAAAAAAAGAAAAAGAAAACAAAAAGAAAAAGAAGAAATAAAATTAAAAGCTGTTTCAATGTGGGGCCACTCTAGAGGACAACCACAAACTCCCTTCTCATTCACATTCACATAGCACATTCACTCACTCGCAGTCAAAGAATTCATGGTGATGGCAGCATTTAAGTTCCATATCGCATCTAACTTAAGAAGATTAGCTTAAGGCTTTAAATTGCGAGCGTAAGCAGATTTAAGACGCATTCAACCAGAGCTGTTCTAATTTCTAGTCTTCTCTTCCCGATCTCTCAGATACTAGGTACTAGGTCATCATGGAACGACGTGGACGCATCCCAGTGGCCAAGTTTCGTACGCAGGAGGCAAAGACGCGCAGTCGGAGCCGTGTAAAGGAGCCGGATTACAATGAACAGGATCCGGAGCATGATATGTTTACGCTGCTGGAGGATAACATAGCGCTAAAGGAAGAGAACAAAGCGCTCAAGCTGGAGATTGAATCGCGTAAATTAGACAGCTCTACTTTATTTTATAAATATATGCATCTAAATAAACTCAACTAATTTGATATCCGTAGACAAAACCACGCAGGAGGAGCAGCAGGCGCAACACGAAAAGCTATGCGGTCAATTGGAGCTGCTGCAGCAGCAGCAAGCCAAATTCGAGTCAGACATCAAGGAGCTCACTGTCAAGTTCAATAAAACACTCAACGAGCGCAATGCGCTCGACAAGCTGCACAAAATGAAGGTGGACCAAATAAACGAGTGAGCCAAGCCATAAACACTGAATGAAGATGTTCGCTCATTCACTTCTTTGATTCCCATTAACAGTCTCTCTACCGAGCTGGATCACATGCGCGAAAAGCAAGTGGGACACCAGGGTGTCGGCTCAGTGGAGCTAAGGCGCAAGCTGTTGAAGATCCTGCAACAGGACAGCGGTGACGTTGCTAACGACTTGGATAGTCTGGTCGATGTTGATGCGAACCAGGATGTGCCCATTACCAATGGTCAGGTAGAGCGTCTAGTGTCCGAATTCTTGACGCTCAAACATGCCACGAACGCCGTAGAGCTGCAGCTATATGAAGCCAATGAGAAGATAGCCGAACTAGTGGAGCACGTGAGTACACCAAGTGATCCAAGCAGACGCTAAAGCTAACGTTTCGCCTGCCTCGCCTGCTTAGCAACACCTACTCGAGGAGGAGAACGAAACGCTGCGCACCGAGAACGGCAATTTGACCAAAGTGGCCAAGCTCTTGACCGACAACATGAAGGAGAGCGTGGAGACGAGTCAGAAGTAAGCGGATCTTGAAGAGGATGATTATGATAGTTCAATGTAAATCTTTGCAGAATGGAGGCCGCTTTGATAAGATTGAAGCAGCGGAATGATGAACTAACTGCTAAGATGCGCGATATTCCCGATGGACAGCCGGGGGCAACACCTTCGCCTACAACGCTGCAGTCGCAGGTCGAGTTCGAGCAGATCACGGACCAGGTGCAACATCAGGCGCGCGAGCACAACGAACGCATCGTGGAAATGGTAAGCGAAGCGCTCTTAATTGTTTTCATTTTCCAGTCTACTTGGTGACGGTTCAACTCTCTATCTATTCGATCTATCCCTCTATCTACCCAACTATTCGATAGCCAACACGTAGCGTGTTTGACATATTCAGGCCGTTGTCAGGCATATTCAAGAGCAACTGATATGCGGCACAACTGTACTTGATTTTCCCAACACATAATAATATTAAATATAATAATACGACATATGCATGGAATGTTTCCAACTGGGTTTTAGTTGTTACCTTCCAAAATCTTGGTGATGGAGTCCGAGCAAAACGTAAGCGCAGCTCGCTTGCATTACGCTTCTGCCATAATTCTGCATCTGTTTCTCTCTCTGTCTGTCTACATATAAATTTATATTGCTGTCTGCACTAACACGCAATGTACGCGTCGAAACTAATTTTTGTTCTACTAATTTTCGTTACCTTTGGCTCTGCTCTGCCGTCCCCGCCCCGCTCTCATTTACGTAGAAAAACCTAATGGATGCGGCTATTGCAAAAACTACTAACGATGAACTAAAAAAATTACAACTTAAGTTGGAAATACTCGAGGAGCAGCTGCATCGGGCCCTAACACGCGCCGACCTGGCCGAGGAGCAATTGGTGCGCTATCAGCAAGCAGAAAAGCACGCAACATCAACAAGAGTTGCACCACCACCTCCACCACCACCACCACCACCACCGCCACCGCCAATGCCCGCCAAGGTACTTTACACTCCAGCGATGGCTGTGGGTGCGTCTGGTGCTGCTGGTGGAGATGGGGCAACTGGCAGCTTCAGTCAGCACATTGCCGCGCATAATTTGCACAAAGGCCTCGGCGATAAGATTATCGACAGCGTCAAGCAACAGGTACAGGTGCAAGCGACAACAGGTATGTGATACAGCTATCAACATTCCCATAATCCAGTGGCCCACTTTATACAGTAGGAGTCGACTGGGCTGGTGTTTGTATGTGTTGGTGTGTGTGTGTTTGTGTCAGCAACTGCAACAAAAGAAAGGTCGTGCTCTGAAGAGAACTTTTACTTTTCGCCTGGAATATCTTATGCCATAAACCCTTTTACGTACTGAAGGGCTCACTTCTGTATACATTGGCACGGTTTTTTTTATGGATTCGCCCACAACTGTATGCGTGTGTGTGTGCCTGTCTCTCCGTCTTCCGGGCGTATACACAATCTCTATACACATACATAACATCACGTATGCGTGCGTCAATTTTTTGTGACTTCTGCGTTTGCTTCACACCTCATATTGGCAATTTCAATTTCAACAAGATTTAAGCTTTATAAAGTTTTCGTATTTCCCTTTGCCATTTTTGCTTCAAGTCGAAGGGCAAATTTGGGCAAAATATTATTTAGCTGAATATCCATAACAATGTGTTTTATGTTTATTTACTAGATGTTGAATTGTTTCATTTTAAATTTGGTAAAATGACACCTGAAACTACTAATTGTTAGAGTATTTAACCTCATTTAACCTCAACCAATTTAAAATTGATATATTCTATATATGTATATGATATATGATTATAGGCCTACCATCTGCCACAGTTGATAGGCTGGCAGAAACTGTACCTAATCCCTACTGAAAGCGTTCGCATGCAAAATGCAAATCCCCTACTCGTCGTCAACTTGTTGCTGTCAGTTGTCAGTTGTCAGTTTTGTTCCACGCAATCTGTCCTTCCCATTTATGTTTATAATTGATTTTGTGCGTTTTTCCACTGCCCGTGCGGCTGTTGTTGCTGCTGTGTTTTTTCTCTCCTATGCGCTGTCACACCGACCGCAGGCAACGGTACATTGCAAACAACCATGCCACTCCATGGCATGGCCGGCGCTGCTCAGTGTTGCCCACTTTGGCTGGGACTTGATGCAACAGGAGCAGTTTCTTAATTAAGTTTTCCACGGCAGACCGCAGTTTACCTGCAGCCGCCGTGTACACATACATGCGCACATACAGTGTAATTGTGTGTGTGTGTGTGTTTGGTTGTCGTACGCCTGTAAAAATCTAATTAGCGACGGCTTTACACGCCCGGGTAGGGGCGTAAATCGTGCGGACGGAAGCTGAATTTCTTTTTGGTCTTAATACATTTTGCAATCAATGTGAAACCGCCATATTTTACGCAGTATTTGTGTGTGTGTGTGGGTGTTTGGGTATATGTATTTGTTTGCTGTTTTTGTTGTTGCTGCTGCTCATTTTCCTATTGTACTTGTAGGACATCTTTGGCATTTAATTTCCGCTTTTGTGCCTTGAAACAATTGCTTGATATTGATTTCAGTTTAGGTCTGAATTTGAGCTCGAGCTAAGGCCGGCAATTGCCTCTAACGAGATTCATTTTGGAGCTAAGCCAGGATAAAGTCAGTGCGGCTGACTCAAAGCCTTACTAGTTGGAGAACTTCGCCTGCTTGAAGCTAATTAACAGCATCAATTAGTAATTTTTTTATTAACTATGCCGAATCTACCAAGACTTCAAGTCATAATCAAGTTTTAAAGCCTCAAAGTTGAATTTTAAAAGTATATCTAGTTTATTCTCTGGGTTATTCGCAAGTAATATAGAAAAATTGTGCTATAACGCGTATATTCATTTCCTTTCACTGTTGGCATTATACCTAAAATTATGTACCACGAGATGACGCACTGCAACCACAACATCAACAGGCGCGCAGGCCATGTAAACATCATCAAAATGAAATCAACTGGTTGTAGAGTAGAAAGGGCTTTATCACACACACACACACCTAAACGCACGCACTCATGTTTATATGAAAGAACTGAAAGTACTGTTGGGGAGTGTCCGACTAGGCGATACCTTGAATCTTGAGCAATTCCTATACATGTATGTATGTAGACATTGCCCTACATTCCTTATACCCACTTAAATTTTAGCTTCGCTGTCTATTTGCCATAGAATAATAAAAATACAACCAAAGATTCGATTTGGTAAAGTCGACTTAGATCAAGATTAATAATACATTTACTAACACTAACACTAGATACTGTTACATAAATCTTCACTGCACCGATATGCCCTCCCCTTGCAATATTCAATGGGTATATAATGCAGCCATGTCGCATGTACTAGAAAAAAAATGTCTGGCAGTGAAAGCCTGTTTGTGTCTGTGTGTGTGTGTTTGAGTGCGTGTGTGTGAATGTGAAAGGCATGAGAATAGATGTATATATCTGGTTGAAAATACTTTTAGTAAATATGCATTGATAAACGTAAACTATCGATCCGTATTAAATAAGTATACTTTAGTTGCCTTCCATGAGAAATATTTAAATTTCAGACTTTGCCTGCTAAATTGATGAATTAATTTAGTGCAGTCAGCCAAGGCAAGGTTGACTATTAGTTGTAACAAACACACATGTGCATATATATAAAGACCTGCATAAGCCTGCTGCGAGATTCAATGGAGCTTGGGGACCATGCTCATAACTGTAATAGCGCCAACTAATGTTGCATAGCTCCAGGACAACAACAGAAACACACGCAATGATTGACTTACGAGCTTACTCAATTACAACAGCCTCTCGCACACTGTCACACTGTCGCACTGTCACACGGTCACACTGTTACACTGTCGCACTAAGCACATCCGTTTCCGGTTGCTGCAATTGCCAATGTCGCAGCAGTTGCCGTTGCCGTTGTTGTTGCTTTTTGGCGCGCGCACAACGCGGCGTATGCGTAACGAGCACACATTGAAATCAATCAGGATTCATATTGTGCGAGGCGCGAACTATTAAGAGACGTCGCTATAGTCGTAACAATCTATATGCTGTGTGTGCACACACTGGCCGATAAACACCGTGCGATGGTTGCGGAAAACGCGCGCGCGTCACTTGAAGCTCATGAAGCGTGTGAGCTGGCAGCGAAGTGAGCAGCAAGTTTACAGCTAGCCAGCGTGCTGGCATTCGTGTCCTGGCGCTCGTTCTCGTCATGGGCAGCTACAGCAACAACAACAGCAGCAGCATTAGCAGCAACAGCATCGCTCTGCGTCGTCATCACACTCGGCACAAAAACAAATGAAGAGAACTGAGCGAATAAGTTTCCGACAGTATTGTTGTCGCTTGCCAGCGAATCCAACCTGTGCTTATTTCACTGTGTGTGAGTGTGCGTCTGTGTGTTTGTGTTTGTGTGTTCCTGCGGTAGATTGCCATGGCAATGCTTGAGCTTGAAGCATCAGCAATGGCGTTTGCCTTGTATCAGTCACTTGTCTTTTTTCAGATCATTATTGCAGGCTCTCGCCTCTCTCTCTCTCTCTCTCTCTCTCTCTGTCTTCGAGGAGCAGCACTTAGGCCAATTTCCGCTAGTCTAAATTAATTGACTTTAACATAGAACCAGAGTAGCATCTACGTAGCACTTCCGGTTCCAAACGATACGTAACACACCTCATATGTGTATATATTATGTCTGCGACCTGAATCGATTTAAATTTGTTCTGCTCTGCGTGCTGAAGCCAGAGCTGAGAAGCTGGCTGCACGCTATTAGCTGGCTTCCTGGCCAGAATACATGGCCAGTGCCCTGGCAACATCCACTGAGATGGGGCAGACCTAGAGCGAGAGAGAGAGAGCAAGCCATTGAGCGCAAAAGGAAGCGTGTTGCCAATGGCTTGTGGCCGTCGTCTATGCGACAGCTTTAGCTTTAAGCAACCGTCAGGCGTTTACATGCTTCAGTCACAGTTTACTGCGCTCTATGTTATCCAACGCTCGACCGTCGCCAGCGTATCAAATTCGATGAAGGCGAGGACTATGCCATTTATTATTTTACGAGTAAACTGAACAACAGACCGAGCGACGGTGCCGCATTCCGAACCCAGCCAAGCCAACTCAAGTCAGACTCTGACACCTTCATTGTTGTTTCCGCAGTTATTGTTGTCCTGCTATGGCTTATTATTATTATTATTTATGCGTTTTATATTTCCGTGTTTTATTGCGCCACTTTCTTATAGCAGACACAAACATATACCCAGACACCCGCCCACACACACACACACATACACATACCAAGAGACCATACATTTCCATTGACTACGTTTTGGGTACAACAAGTCGCATACGCAACGTGAGCCACTTCATTTGTTGTCGCTGACAGTTGTTGAATGCGTGGGCTTAGTTCCGACCCCTTTTCATCCTTTTCGCTGTTTCTGTTGTTGTTGTTGCTGCCAATTGGAAGTGGTGCCGTGATTTATGCATATTTGACACAGCATCAAAATCCTCAATTTAAAAACCTTAGCTCCCTTAAGTATGTAGCCTGCTAGCTGCGTCAAAGGTAATTGCTGTCTTTTCGTTGGGCAAAGGTTTTTATCAGTCTAATAAGCTAACCGCATGTCAATTTTAACTTCACTAGCTGACTTGACGTCACAATTTTATAGCATGCTCTAATTGTGTTTATCATCTTGCAGGTCTTGACGCTATAGTGCGCGAATTCAAATCTGGACGCGTGACGCTGCGCCGCAATCGTCGGAAAACCAACACGAGCGAAGCTCTGAAGGAGATGTTCCAAGTACTCGAGATAAGCCAGAAGCAGAATCGAAACTCAAAGATTTGTGTCGACCTGAATACAACATTATAAGACTCTCTACCTATCTCTTTTACTTTGGTCTCAAATCTAAAGTCTACGCTTTGCTTTAACAACAAAACATTCCGTGCATTTGAATATTTATTTATTAGACTCTGCTATTTAATTCACTAATCGTGCCTTTTCTTTGAAAAAAAAAAAAAGAAATCAAAGCCATTTTCTTTGCCTAAATCAAAGTGCCCATCAGTCCTAAAACCTAACATGTATTTTATTTCGACTTTTTATAATGTGTTCATGTACTAATAATTTTTATTATTTATGCTCAATTTACAATTCAACCCAACGAAATATTTTGAATAAATTTTATAACCAAATATAACTAATTATTTTGTTTAATTTATGTGGGTAAATGTGGGCAATGCCAATTGTATATCTGATCCAAATAAATATTTAGAGACTTTTCAAGCTTAATTGTACTTTATTATTACTTAATCTTTGGCCGATGCACAGATCGAAAATTACATAAAATTACACAAAGTTCTTCCTACAGCTAGTTGTAAGTGTATATATCAAAAACATTCATGTATAGCTTATAACAATATTAAAAAGTTATTTGTTCATTCTGAAAAGTACACGATTAAAATTTACGTATTTCAAATTGACTTTATGGCTACTGTAAAATATGCGTGTAAATATATTTTCTTTACTAGTTTATAAAAATTTGGCTAATTTTTAACAACATTTTCAAAGGTTTTATATTGCATGCACTGATCTTAAATTGTCAACGCATTTCGTGCTGTAAATTGACAAACTTTTTGTTATAGACGTGTGGCACTTGTTTGCATAAAAAAACTCAAGAAGTTATTTTTAAATCTGATTAGAACTTAAAACTTAATACAAACGCTTAAAATATTATTACAACAATAATGTATACGATTTGATTTTGTATAGCAGAATACAAACTTGTGGAAGACAAGCAGCATTTGTGTGCGTATTGCATTTTGTTCGAAAACAAATTAAAAGAAACATCGATTACTCTTTTATATAAATAGACTATCAACTTAGATAGAAATGATGACATGTTCAACATAATATCATTGCAACATTTAACATTAAATACACGATTAGGCTTTGATTCATACCAAGCGCGTTAAAAACATTTATCTTAAATTTAGTGCGATCGTTTCGTTAAGACACGGATGCCATTTGGTTTTTGGTAGTCGGTCATGTGAGGCTATTGTTGTGTGTTGATTTTGCTCGATTCTCTATATATGTATATGCACATAGTAACACAGGAATATTTGGCACTCGATGCTTGCTCGTTGACAACGGATTTTGATTCTTTACTTTTCGTTTCATCTATGGCGCAGCACTGGCAGCAGCAATTGCGACTCCTATTCGTTTGTCTATGGAATGTGTTTGCTGTGACGCGATGGCTTCGGCGGTGGAGTCGGAGGACGTGGTTTGCTGGCATCGCTTATGCTAGGCAAACCGAAATTTGTCGCCTCCACATACTCATACGTGGCGTTTGTAATACTGGTCTTTGTCATTGTAGTAGTGCTGATACTGATGCTGCTGTTGGTGCTAGTGTTGCTGCTCAGTACGTTAAGCATAGTATAGCCATTGGGGTTCCAGTCTAGACTGTGGGTTAGGCTGCTAAAATCCGTGGAGTCACGTGTCTTGGCGGGCAAGGGCGGTGGTAGTATGTCCTCCTCCGACGTGGAATCGGTCGTTTCTGTCAAGTTTATACAGAATAAAAAACAATTCAAGAGTAAATTTCCACATGGCGCTTACCAACTGAATTCCGATTGCTGCTCTCGGAGAGGGATCGTATGTCCGCAAAGTTTTTAATGCTAGCTGATGGCGTTGGAATGCTGACTGGTCGCGAGAGACGGCGTTCCTTTTCTTTTTCAGAGCGCAGTGGTCGCTTGGGGGTCAACTATGGGAATATGGGGTTAGCATCAGAAACGGAAACGGTTACCTAAAGTCACTTACCTCTTCTGTGAGTACGCGAGGATCGGGTGTTTTCGGTCCATTTAAAGAGCTATTCGAGGCACTTGCCAGTGAATTGATAGAAGTGTTGATTTCCTTCTCGGGCGTTGAAGTTATGGTTGTGAGTGGCGGCGTATACCACTGGCTATTGGCGACCGGCAGACTTAATACATCACGATCCTGCAGGAATACATTGTTATATAACTGATGCAATTATATTAAGCAAGAGTTCAGTTACCTTTTTCATGGAGCGCCGTTTGGCCGGCTTTTCCTTATTCTTGTTGCCTTTGGTGCTAGGCGTATGTCCCAGGCTAGGTCTATGTAAGCGTGGACAATAAGCAACAAATGTAAACAAAAGTAAAACAAATAAACCAAACATGCATCAAAATAAAATAAAACTAAAAGAAAAGAACTTAAAGTCTCAAACTAAAGTCGAGCGAGCAAAATTAAGTGTGTTAAAGAGAAGTATTAAAGTTAGTATTAGTTTAGGTAGCATGTTCTTGATTATAACGCACCTGGTGTTAAAGCTTAAGCTGGCCAGAGTGGACTTGATGGAACTTGTGGGCGGCCGCGGCAGAAAGGTGGACTTCGACAAACCGCTGCTGCAATTGTGTCAAAGATTAGCATTTATTTACCATGTAAAGCATTAGCTTTGGCACTTACTCTGAGGAGCCCATGCTGGTCTCGGACAGTCGATTGTTGCTACCGTCGAAGATTGCGGGCAGAAAAGAGCTCGTGCGTCGCATTATCACCGAATCTCTGTCGACTTGTAAGTCACACGATTTACGACCATAGCGCGATTCCACGTGATGCTGCATATCCGCGAAGCAAACCTCCAAGTGATCCTGCAGCGCCTTTAGGCTCTCCGGCGCCTTTTGCCGATGCAAGCGAATAGCTGCAGATTGACAAAGTAATTAGACGTAAACTTCTAAACAAATATTTATTTGGGAAACATACCACACTCGAGTAGAGGTATTTGCATTGCGATCAATTCCTTTAGCTCCTCAACCAGATCTTTGTCGTCCGGATGCTGCAGCAAATACTCGTCCGTGAGGAATGCTTCCTCGTATTTGGCGAAGCCGCCCATAACGGCAGGATCCACAATGCCATTTAGTTTCATGCTCAGCGGGTTTATGTGGAGATTGGGATCGTGTTGATGCAATATGACCAGCTGCCTGATATCCTTATTGGTCTCTTTCATGATCTCCACGGCGCGCTTTATTGGTGAAATTTTAAACGTATGCGTATCAACAACAGGAAACCAGCGCAAAATTCCAGGCAATGGATACTGTGTAATGAGCTCGGTCCGCTCCAGCCAAAGATTGCGCACATCATCCATATTTCCACCGCCAGAGCTGTCGCGGAATGGCCGCGAAAATTGAAACTTTTGCACATTGTTGAATGTAAAATACTTGACAATCTCATTGGAGATGATCTTATCGTTAAACTTGGAGAAGGCTGCGTCCATTATCGGCTCCACCTTATTGACCTGTATGTACTGGCCATCGCTGTTGGTAATATCCTCTCCCGGCGCCTCCAGCGTTTGCATAAGCTCTGCCTGTGGATGCTGCACCAGCATACGTGAGCAAAAGTCGCTATGGCGTTCGTACTCCTTGCCCCGAAAGATATAAACTTTATTCCGCAATAGACGTGGAAAGCCGAGTCCGTAGAAACACACACGGAAGTACTCGGAAGTGTGGCGCAGCTCCTTGACTATTTTCTCAAAGAACTGAGCCATTCGCTTCAGCAGCTCCGCCAGTTTGATGTAATCATAGACCTCCTCCTCGTACTGCTGGGCTAGTATTTTGCACATAGTAATTGCGCACTCCCACTGCTTGCCCCTATCGAAGTACTCCATGATCTCAAAGTAGAGGGCCTCCTTTAGCTCTCGATGGGTTCGGCAACTGCCATGGCGATAGCTGCGCAACTGGGGCGACAATTCTGCATCGGTCCAGTGCAGTAGATCCATATGCAGCTTAAGCGTAAATGCCGCCTCCGTGTAATTCTCGAACTCCATGTGCAGGGCGCACAGCTTGTACACGTAGCGTATGTACATCTCCTTGAGATCCACCTCCGAGTAAAACTGCAGCAGCGAGAACGTACAGGCCATCCGATTTTCCTTGCTCTCGTCCTGTATGATGCAGCGATACTCGAGCAGCTTATCCATCAGCTTTGTCACCATGTTCACAAAGCTGGTGCCGTCCACATTGAGCGTGCTGTGGGCGGTACAGTACTCCAGCATGATCGTTTTAAACAGCTCCTTATACTCTGTATCACCCTTGCCTGAGAAAGAAGATCAGAATGAGGATGAGTCATTGAAGAGCTAACAAATACGTTCAAGCTCAGCACTTACCCGCGCCTATCAGAATGTCCAACTTTTCGATCATTGCGGTCTTGAACTCGGAAAAGTTACCCTTGTAGTGGGCATTGTTATTCTTGGTGTCGCCGTAGCTTTCCAACTCCAAGCGTGAGCTGTAATACTCGCACTGCATCATGTCAAAGAAAATGGGTATCGTCTCGCGTCGGAGGTCAGTTTCGGGTATCATGCTCATTTCCAAAATGGGCTCCACCAGTTGCGGCACGAATTTGGGCTTGTGCTTGCCCAGCTGGAACCACATCTTGCGTATCTCCTTGGCCGTATCCTTGCGTATGTCCCGATATCGTGCGAAAACTATCTGCCGCTTGTTGTCATTGAAGTCGTTCAGCTGCAGCGGCGATTGCACCAGGAATGCAATCGAGCATTGGAAGAAGTTTGACCAGATTTGCTTGTCAAAGACTGGGCACAAAAAGTAGTCCGTGATGACCATGCTCAATTGCTGCAATGCCCCGAGTATGACCGTATTCTGATGCATAATCATGTCCATCCAGTCGCGCGGAAACACGGGCTTCTGATGCGGCGAGACCAGCTCCTCGAAGACGAGCAAGATCTCGATGACAAAGTCCTTCAGTTCACCATGCTGATGCAGATCGTTGACAAAGTACTTGTAGTGCTGCGCATCCAGGCGCTGCAGTATGCCCAGCATAATGGCAAAGAACTGGCCCACCACGCCAGTATCCCGATCCAGAGAGTGCGCCGCCTTCATTACCGGACGCAGCAATATGATCATAATGTCGCGCACGTCATTATGTGTGGGTCCCACGTCCGGCCGATAGATCAACTTCATAATGTTGTTCATTATGTTGATGCATTCGGCGATCTAGCGACAAGAGTTGAAATATTAATTGGCATTCTTATTCAGTTTCATGGAGTGAATAATTATCCAAAAACTCTCAGCTGTTGACCTGGCTATATGCTTCACATAAGAATTAAATTTAAATTAGTTCATTAAAATAGAAAATAACACAAAAACGCATTTAAATTAAGTTAAATAGGAAACATTGAGGGCTGCATTAACGTAAACAAACTTGGCGTACACCAATACACGAGCGGTGGTGCACTAGTATTTGTGAGCTCTCAAAGCACCCAAAAATTGCAGCGACACACCAGAGCCGCATGAGCTCTGTGTACGTGTGTTTGTGTGTATGTGTATAAAAGCTCGCACACTGGCACAATAAAAAAGCTTAAAACTAAAAGCCATCGAGTGTAAAGTGCGCTAATCACCGACAATGCAAAATGGCATAAAAGAAGCTAAACATAACTTAAACTAGAATAAAACAATATAAATTGATTGATAGGGCAGCTGATGCGCTATTTTGGACGTGCGTTACATAGGCCTGATTTATATTTGGTGTGCAATTTTTGGTTTGTTTTTATGTTCTTTTCTGTGTTGATTTGTTTTTACCTTTTTATTGGCAGTCGTATCACGAGTGTGCAGGTGGGATTTTTTTTGTCCGAGCACTTTAGCGGCTTTCGAAAGATTCTTTTCTTGCTGCCAGATATCGGTTTTCGAGTCACCCTATTTGTATAACACAAGTTATGATAGTGAACCAACAACAACAAGAGGAACAACGGCAACAATAGCAACAACCAAACACCACGATTTGGTTTCGATACACGCATATGGTAGAGACATGGGAGATACATATATTGAGAAACATTTAGTTGTTGATCATGAGTTCAAGGCATTTCTAAGTGTAATTCAAAATAATACGATTAAAATCATAAAGCCAAAGATATTACAGACAAATGAAGTGTGACAAAGAGAGTAGAGAGAATTAAAGAGCGATCGATATACATGTACATATATAGTAGACGGGCGTTTCAGGTGTGCATACATACATACATTCGCATTATATATGGTGCGTGTGCATGTGCATATGTGGGTGTGGGTGTGGGTGTGTGTGTGAAATCTTTACGCATACAATTATATATGTATGCATGGTGTGCGTCTAGAACCATTTTGATCTAGTAAGGTGCGTAATCGTAGTCGAATGGGTGCAGTATATGGAGTATGTATGAATGTGTATGTATGTATTTGTGGTGCTTTAACAAACTGCCATAAGTAAGTGCAACTCATTATATTAATGACATCATAACTTGAACGAGCCCTCGACTAACAGCTAAGCCAAACAGATATATTGCACAATCATGATGTATGTATGTATAAACACATATGTATAATTCCTATGTGAAATAACTAAACGAGAAACGACGTCGATGATCGAGAGATGTTCTCGCTAAAACACACAAATCGATCACTAACTAAATAACACTACACATATATGGATGTCACTGTGTACTAACATACTTATAGTTAAGATAAAACACACATATGTATATATTATAGATAGTTCAGATATGAAGTGTTTTGGCATTGATGTGCGGCTACTTAAGAGAGTGCTTACGACTAGGACACTTGACAACAAACACAAACACATAACAAACAGAAAACATTAAATTCAATCGGATGCAGTACTTAAATAGAAAACCAGAAAATATATATATATCTTCGGTAGGCCGAATCATAAATACTCTTGCAGAGCCTTTAGCAAGATCATATTAAAGCAATAACAGATGTGTAAGATTTCCAGTTAGATTCATCAAAACATCTTTGAAAACATTGTTAAAGATATAAGCACAAGTATGCTCAAATCATAGAGCGCGCTCTGCAAATGTATAAGAAACATATATGGATGCAACATGCTATTGACTAAACTAACATATCATATCAAAAGCTACAGTTACATATGTACTAACATATATGCTTAAACATGTACAAATATCTAAGTTGAAACTAAGCAAAATTAATACAGCTCACATGTCAAAAATTTGGTGACCCAATGATCTGATGCATTAGATGGCATTCGATATCGAGATAAATTGAAGAAGTAGCAAAGCTCTTCGCGAAGTAATCTTGTCTTATATATGGTTTCCATTAAGCAGCATGACGAGGACAATTGAGCAGATTAAGTGTGTTTGAAAATGTTTTTAAATATCAGTTTAATTACGTCACTGAACGAATTAGCGCTGAGCATTTGCAGTTAATTACAATTAGTTACTTTTGATCATTTGGCTTGAGCATGTGGTGGGTTATGTTTTAATTTTGAGTTTCAGTTTTGCATTTAAGAGGCCATTTCGCGAACATATATATTATAACGATGCATTCAATTAAAAACAATATGCAATTCCCGATGATTAATTAGCGGTGCAAGCAATGCATTGACAGGCATCAAACATACCTCCTCCTTGCTCTCGAGATGATCTTTGATGTGCTTGCAGAACACCGGCAGCAGGATAGCACGGCAGGTGGGCGAGCTGAACAGCTTCGTGTCCACAAAGTCCTTGATACACCCCATTTTCGACTGGGTGAGACGACGTGGCGGGAACTTCTTTAATATATCCACTATAGAAATGCTGTAAGCACAGAACAATATTTGTAAACATTTTCAGACGATCGGCAAACCCACTCTCAACTTACCTGAGATGCACATGATCGAAGACCTCCATCAAATCCGTGGCTATGATATGCAAGTTCTTCAGCAACGCTCCCTCCGACTTGAGCAGATTGCTGGGGCAGCCGATCATGTCGATGAACATTTTGAGCAGCTCCTGCAGACGCGTAGCAAAGTCCACGTAATCGTTATTACAATTCATCGCCGCATACAGAACACGCGATCTTATGACAAACTTCATCACGTAGTGGAGATAGCGCGTGGTCTTATATAGACGCCGCACTGCGGGGCTCTCCTCGTGCTCAATGCCATCGGCAGATTTCTCGCTCGGTGTAATGGCGTCTCGAATATTGCGCTGCAGCACATCCATTAGTTTCCTACAGAATAAGAAATAGAATCTATATAATTACAGGCGTCACACAATATGATGTCTGCACTTACGTGTAGGCCAACGTGGCGGAGAAACTCTCGTTTATATAGACATCCAGCACGGTTAAAAAGTGTTGGTACTTCAGATCGGACACCGTTTCAATGAGATGGATGATGCTCATAAAGACCAGCTGATCGTATTTCTCGGGATTATCGTTCTCCACCAGGATATTGAACAAAGCATCGAGTATGTCTTGCAGAAACTTGACTACCTCCTCGCCGGGTACCGTAGATAAAGCATTCAGCGACTGCTCCAACCTCTCCTTATGCGCCGACCAATGCAACAATCCCAAGAGGCTTACTGCAATACAATATGTAAGAAATGGATAAAAAAAAATAAATTATTGGGCACCTTTCTGCTAAACGGAATAATCTTACCGCTCTGCGTTAGCTTCGTGCTGCAAAGATTGACATCGATGGTAAATTGATCCTTGGGCAAGAGACTTAGACCAGCTATCGATGGCTTGGCGCCCATCAGCTCAGCTGTGGTGGCTGGCAGCTCCATGTAACTGTTGCCCATTGTCTTGTCGTACTTCTTGTGATCAATCTTGTAGACGGCAAGCACATGCTGGCCCTGTGGTATGGTGGTGCCATTGGCCTGCATCAGACGCACATAGGACAGGCCGAACGGCTTCTCGGAGCGATCCTTTTGCTCGTTGCTGCTCCGATGCTTGAGTGTGAAGCGCAAATGGCATTGCTTGAACTCTTCGATTGGCACGTGTATCTTGAACGTCTCCTGCCACTTGGGCTTGTCGTCGTGATAGTACACCACCGATTTGTACTCATCGATGGGCGGATGGCCGGCACCAATGCTCATTACGCCAGGTACCAGCTGCCCCTGCTCGTTGGCGACGCAGACGGTCACCTCCACGTTCTTCTCGGACGTTTTGGCAATGCGCGCGAATTCGCCGCTGCAGATGGTCAAATAGAGATCGTTGCGCACGTCGCCCGGCAGTATAACCTCCGGGAAACCCATTTTGCGCGCCACGGGCACATTGGTGTGCACGAGCCGTGGAAAGTCCTCCTTGATCTGCTTAATGTCGCCGCGCAATACCTCAAATGTTACAGCCATTTTGGATTCGATTTTGCCAATGTCCTTGTTGGCGATCAGCTTGCGCAGCGTGCCATCCAGTGTGTCCTTCTCGCACATGATGAACGGCAGGTCGAGGTTGCCCCGGAACTCCTCTGGCTTGCTTATGATTGGCGTCAGGTCCTTGCAGGCGACACCAAAGGGCCGACGCATCATGTACTCACTGGTGCTGCCAGAGGAGCCGTTCGAATTGACCGACAACTGCGAATGCTTTCTGCTGGCCGCCGTCAGGACACTGTTTGCAATGTTCATGCTGGTGCGTTTCGACTCCATCGAGTCCTTCATCTCCATAGAGCCGATGCGTATGGCATAGCACACCAGATACATTTTCGAGATGCTCAGATCGCTACGGCTGAGATCGGTAAATAATACGCGATTGTTATCGAACTGATCGATGTCCCGCGCCACCCCAGTGCGGGACCACTTCACCACATAGTTTTCGCTGATGGGCTTGTGGGTGTCGCCATTGAAGAGCGTAAATAGCAGATCCGAATCCTCTTGGAATTTGCATACGAACGCATTCACATGCAGCAGTATGTTGTGTGAGTATTTGTTGTGGGTACGCTGCGTCTCGCGATCACTGGACAAGCGCTGTACAGGGATAATTTCGATCAATTTTAGAGAGCTTCAGCTAATTAGAAACGAATCCTTGAACTTACGTTGGCCTTTTCGATTCGCTGCACGGCGTACACATGCTTTTCGTATAGCTCGGTGCTGCAGATGGAATTGGTGTCCAGTATATCGCCGCTCTCGTCGCGCACGACCATGTCCAGACCCAACAGCCTGTTGCCTGTATCGATCTGAGCCGTTGCCTGCAGCTTCACCTTGCGCATCTCGTCGAGCGGCAGATTGCCGGATATCAAGGCGGCCCTGTTATTATTCAGCTCATTCATTTTACGTCGAATCTTCTGAAAATCTGGATTTGTGGTCTGTCGGCGAAAAAGCAAAGTTAGTCAATTTCCAGCTGCATTCATAAATCTTAAACTTACCAAAAAGTATCTCTTGGCAATGACGCCCCACTCCAGCATCACTTTGGTGATCTCCTCGACGATGTCGGTGCGCTGTATGCAGTACTCGCCATTGACAATGGTGTACTCACACAGATGCACATAGCTCTTGGGGAAGATGCCGCGTATTTGCTTCTCCCTGCAGCGGAAACAGAAACAAAACAAAACAAAGACAATATTAAAATGTGCTCTGCATATGGTGGCTAAATCAACAAAAACTTATGCCCTGACAATTACAATACATGTATATAAATTATAAATACATATATAGAAATGTATATAGAAATTCCAAATAAATTGGGCAACTGCATAAGTTTTATGTGAGATTAATTGCAAATTTCAGCTGAAATCAGTTTATAATCATATGTGTTTTACTTGCTTTTATAATCCCAAATAATGTTAGTTTAAATGAAAACCCAAAATAATTTTAGTTTAAATGAAAATAATTAAAATAAATTGGTTACTTTGAATGTCAAGGCAAATGGATATAAATTTAATAAAATGTTTTTTTTTTTTTTAATATTAATTAATGAGATATTAATATTTTCTATTAAGGGTTGGTTATTTAATTTCTCTAGCTATGCATATTGTATTTATATTATGTTCAATTGATAAAGTATTATTTATTTATTTAAAAAATTTAATTAATTTAATAATTAATCAAAAACAATTATAATTTCTTTCATTTTCTTTGTCAATTCAAATTTTATATAGAGTTTACAAACCTAACTAATTATATTTGCTCTATTAATATTGTTTAAAAATATATGCATATATATTTATTTATATATATGATATATTTATAGCTCCCCACTTGGCTACTGTAAGAGAAGCCCTCGCATAAATATTCTTTGTATTCACATATGTATGTATGTATGTACGCATGTTCTCTCCTTTATAGGCATAAATATAAGTTATGCTCATAACTGCAGAATGACACAATTCATCGTCAACGCTGATGAATTACCCAACTCAAACCGAACGAACCCTCGAGTGAAGCTGCGTCTGCGTCTGTGGCTGCCATTGTTTGGGATGCCCTCGGGGCAGAGGAAGTGCGCTCAAAGTGTGACACTCGCAAATGAAATGGAATGCTTCAATTTGGCTCAATTCAGCATTTGACATGCGGGGTGGCCGCCTTAATTGCCAGAGGCAACTGCAGAGCACTCGGTAGGCCATCAATCAGCGGGCCTATCAGTGGGCCTAGGAGCATATTTAACCGATAGTTAACCGACTCTTTGCCGTTGCTGCAACTGTGTGTGACAAATGATTCCATTGAACTTAGATTGCCAGGTATTGGATTTGATGTGACCTTCGCTATTGGACACCGATTGATTGGTCATCGGCCGGCGGCTGAGAACTCATTCGATTTCGTATTGCTTATCGTTTGAAAATCGTGAGAAAATGCACAATTAAAATTGATATTTCCATATATAAATAAACAATCGCTGGCACACAAAAACAAATACGAATTTCGGACCCAAGAGGTTATCACACGACGCATTGAATTTCTTTTTAAATACCTCACACTCACAGCGCCAGTTTTTTTTTTTATCGCTCGGCATTCTTAAGTGTAGCGGCTACAGTGGAAACCTGCGTAAACGAACAGCTATAGACATGGGAAAAACTCAAGCAAAATTAAATTCCCAATTGATCTTTGGGCATTGGTTCATTAATGGGTATTTACTTTAGTAATTGCGAGATATGCCCTAAATTCATTCAATTCATTCATGGGCTTCACTGTACTTACAGCAGTATTTGTTTACTATCATTTCTTGTACTTCACCCAATCGCCTTGTCTGGCTCTGGGTCTGGGTTATGGGTCAGCAGAAATATGAAAAAGGTCAGCTAGACAATCATGATACTGTTGCTGTTCTAGTTGTTGTTGTTGTTGCTGCTGTTATAGATTCTTATGGCTACTGTATCTCAACCGTTGTTTTCGCTTCGCTCTGTCTCAACGATAAGGCGCATCGGAGCTGACTCAAGCGAACGTCCAATCGCAGACACCATAGATAAATAAAAAATACAAATAAAACCACTCTACGAACCGCGCCCACCCATTCGAAAAAGAAAACAGAGAACGGAAAAACACAGTAAACCAATATTTAAGAAAACCCATCATAGCAAAAGGGTCAATCGAATCGGACACATACATACATACCAACATGCAAACATATTTTATCTGAAACAATATTTTTGAAATTCCTATGAATGTTTCTGCCACATGGCCGCATCTGTTTTCGCCTGGAATAGGGCTGAACTGAGAATGCATCTTGTTTGTATGCTTTGTATGTATATTGGGCAACTTGGCACCGATTCCAACAGATTGATTCGGTAAACAATACTCTAAATGGGCTACATCTTGGCTAACAGCTGGTTACCTGATTTATGCATGTGAATAATTCTGGTCTCATTTCCGTTTTCTGCTCCACAAAAGTGGGTTTTTATTTCAATTATTATGATTGTTTGAATACAGACAGAGGGAGAGAGAGAGTGAGAGAGAGAGAGAGAGAGAGAGAGAGAGAGAGAGAGA